TTCCCCCCCCCCCCCCCCTCCCATAATATTCAACAGGTGGCACTTCTACACCACGAGTATTGGCCATAAAATTCACAAATGACGGCGAAACCGTTGCCCCGAAGACAGATTAGTTGAGTAGTCTTGACTGTGACGGTGGAAACAGCCCATCTTGCACAAACCTCATCTAAGAAACAACAGGTGGCAACTTCTGAGGGTATCATTTTGTTTTGTTTTTTTTTCATTCCGCATTGTTTTGTTTTTGGGAAAAAAAAAATTAGGAAAAACACTCACGTTAACACCCCAACCACAATACAACCACGTTTATTTGCGTCATATAAAATGTCATCTTGCCATAAAATAAATACAAATGTGCAATCGCTGGAGCGTGTCGACACTTTTTGGTTTCAAGTTGACGTTGCTGGAGACGAAGGCAATCTGCAGAGGAGAGATAGAGAGAAAAAAAAGAAATAAAAGCAAAGACATGTTACCATAAAACACCTGCCCAAGTTTTCAACCTTCAACATCTGCGACATTTTAGTGGGAGCTCGGATGCGGGCCGGTATGCGGGGGGGTTAAAAAAAAAGAAATTAAATATCAATGAAAAAGATTTTAAAAATAAATACAGTCAACGAAATGTAAACCAAGTTGCATTGCGCAACCAAATTTGGAATTATTGCCTTGGATCACAAAGCAAAATAAATTAATAAATAAATATATATATATATATATATATATATATATATATGTGTGCTTTTCAGCGGTTGCGGAAGTTTTGATGGGTTGAAAAAAAAAACATATAACATTCCATATTATCTGCTAAAAACTTTTTTTTCTTCTTCTTCTTCAACAGGCGAAACGGGAGTTTCGGGATGAGAGGGTTGGTCGCTCATATCCTGTGTGAGAGGGGAGAGAGAGAGAGAGAGAGAGAGAGAGAGAGAGAGAGAGAGAGAGAGAGAGAGAGAGAGTGAGAGAGAGAGTGTGTGACGGCGGGAGGGGGGTGGGTGGGGATGCTGGAGGCTACGCGGTACTTGAACCGCTATAATGGTGTCTCGTATGAGAAAACATCTGTGAATTTCCTGAGTGATCGACAACAAAGTGGAACTCGGAGCAGTCACTCAGCAGACCTTTTGAAGTCTCAGTCTGACAGAAAGCCGCCATTGTTCGCCGCCCCCCCCCACCCCGACACACAGAAACTCCAACTTTGGTCTCCCTAATTTTGCCTGCAACGCGATACAAGTCCACCCCCGCCTCGCCCCCTCTTCTGAGCCTAAGAAGTGGGAGATGTGTGCATATTCACCGGCAAAGAGCAAAAGCCCCGGCAATGTGCGGCTTGGCCCGAGGGTCACGTAAAGCGGGACGGGGTCATTGTACCTTCCAGCGGCCCACCCTGGATGTGATAATCCGACACTAAAGAGGGGAATTCGCCCGCCGCGCCGCCATGTACACACTTACATTTCGCAGTGGGATCAAACAATCAAGGAAAAAGCAGTTTGAATCGCAAAACATTTTGCCCTATTGAAATCAAGGAAAATGCGATTAATTGGTTCTAGCCCTCCCATCCCCAAACACAAACAATTAAAAAAAAAAAAAACAACAGAA